AGCCAACGCTCTTAGCTACTGCTTACCAAGTTGCATTCATAATTTGAATATTGGGATTAGAATACCCTGGAAAATAATTGGTAATTAAATTTATTTCAGAGATAATATTGATTATTCTAATTATTAAATTCCTAATATATCATATAGTTATATCATATATTTTATTTATTTTTTTAATATTACAAAAAAAATATCCATTCTAATCGCTTAAGATCCTCTAATAAATTAAATCAACAAAGCAAAAGTTTGTTGAACATGAATTTCTCCAAACGAACCTTTAGATATTCCAGATATTTGTAATGTTATTTTATTGATATCTCTGCAGATCTCTGCATCAATAGTGATTTGCACTTTTAGTTGCAGCTATTTGTTATATAATAAACTAGATCAATAAACGAATATTAGTTCTATTTATTCTCTTACAAAGAAATATTTAAATATTTATCGTATCTATAAATATTCATAAGAGCTCTAATCAGATTGTACTCTATCTGTAAGCTATTGCGATTAACTGCGATTCAACGACCCCATTTGCAGGAAATGAGAGACAAAACCCCCCAGGAGAGCCCTTCAATCAGCATTAAATGCGATTATCAATTAATCGACAAATAGACAAATCTCAATTGCAAACGATCTGAATCGACTTTAGTTTCGCTGCAAATGCTGATTAATTGCTTTGTTTGTGTTTTTGTTTTCATTTGGATTTTGATTTGAATTCTGATTTTTTATTTTATTAAAAGAATTTGCATTGAGTGCAGCTTGCTTCCGTTTCGTGTTCGACAAAGACTTAGGCAGCGAACGGGCTGCAGCATCAGCTGCTTCATTAGGCGGCGCAGCTTATATGCTAATACCCTGGCCGGATCCTGTGGGGTCCAGCTGGTTAGCCATGCACCCAGCTAGCTGCGCCGCCCAGCTGTCAGGCTACCTGTTTAAGTGGCATTTGCACAGCACCTGTTGGGGCAGCCACGCTCCGCCTGTTAGACACTAATCCGAGGCATTTAGTTACGCTTTAATAAGATTTACCTTTTTATAGATTTTTTCCAGCAGCAACTGCAACAGCAGCGCCTGCTGAGAGGCAGTCTCTGGCGAAAGCAATGCTCGCGAGTTTCGCAGCTGCAGACAAGGCGACGCGACTTTTGCTTCATGCCACAAACTGGTGGCAGCATCACTCATTCGCATCTAACTGAATGTGCGTACTGTTAATAAAAATTCCATATCTAATGGATACTCAAACTCGGAGTCCAATTGTCATAGTCATAGTCATAGTCATAGTCATAGTGATTGTCATTGTCATTGTCATTGTCATTGTCATTGTCATTGTCATTGTCATTGTCATTGTCATTGTCATTGTCATTGTCATTGTCATTGTCATTGTCATTGTCATTGTCATTATCATTGTCATTGTCATTGTCATTGTCATTGTCATTGTCATTGTCATCGTCATTGTCATTGTCATCGTCATTGTTATTGTCATTGTCATTGTCATTGTCATTGTCATTGTCGTTGTC